CAACAGACACAAAAATGTATCTCCAAGTCCCTGAGCACCTTTCCAGTTTGTAGGCACATCTCTCTACATCTCAGCCCATCATTTTTCCTTCTTTGGAATAGTAAATTTTTTTTTTTTTTTGGTCTTTTTTGTGACCGGTAAGGGGATCACAACCCTTGGCGTGGTGTCGCCCGCACCACGCTCAGCCAGTGAGCGCACCGGCCATCCCTATATAGGATCCGAACCTGCGGCGGGAGCACCACTGCGCTCCCAGCGATGCACTCTCCTGAGTGCAACACAGGGTCGGCCCTGGAATAGTAAATTTTATTTTTTCTATGCATACATCCATTTTTTGATTGAAAGGGGGCTATTATATGTATAACTTTATATCCTTTTTTTTTTTTTGTAGCTGGCCAAAAAAGTCCTGGACCTTTGTGTTATCCCAGCACGCTCTAACCAACTGAACTAACTGGCCGGCCCAGTTTCATATCTTTTTAACTTCAAGAAGTATCCTGAGAAATCACAATTAAAAAGAAGATCATATTGGGCCGGCCCAGTGGCGCACTGGATAGGTGCGCCGCTTGGGAAGCGCAGCGGCGCTCCCGCCCGAGGGTTCGGATCCCACATGCAGACCGGTTCCCGCTCACTGGCTGAGCGAGGCGCGGGAGCAGCGCCGAGGGTTGCGGTCCCGTTGCCAGTCCCCGGTCCGGTACGGGGGCAACACTGAGGGTTGCGATCCGTTGCCGGACACGGAAAAAGACAAAAGACAAAAAAAAAAAAAGAACATCATATTATCAATGGCTTCTCATTAAAGTCTTCTATAGCCTTTTTTAAAAAGAGTACCTTTTAAAAAAAACCCAAAGAGTAACTAATCTTTTTTGAACAGTTACATTATTTCTAATATTTCTTTATCATGAAAATCTGCAACTACCATCCTTGTGCCAAAATATTTATACACATTCCTGAATGCTTTCTTAGAGTAACATTCCAAAGAAAGAAATGCTATACAGAAGGGTATGCTCATCTTTGAAGTTATTGATATGCTGTCAAAATTGCCCTCCAGAGACATTTTACCAACTTACACTCTATCTAGTCTGTTCAGACTGCTATGACAAAAATACCTTAGACTGCTTAATTTATAAGCAACAAAAACTTATTTTTCACAGTTATGGAAGCTACGAAGTCCCAGATCAAGGCACTAGTAGATTCTAGTATGGTGAGGGCTCTCCGCTTCAAAGATGATGCCTTCTAGCTGTGTCCTTACATGGTACAAGGGGCAAATGGCTCCCTCACACCTCTTTTATAAGGGCACCAAACACCTCTTAAAGTCCCAACCTTTTAATACTATCACATCAGCAATTAAGTTTCAACACATGAATTTTGGGGAGAGACATTCAGACCACAGCACACTCCCACCAGTAGTTTATGAGGGTTTTTTTTCCTGCTATCTCACACATTCACCAAAACACTGGATATTCCTTGTTTTAAAAATCTATTCAAATCAATGGAGGAAAAAAAATTGACACATTTCTTAGTTTCACAGCAATGTCAATCTCTCTTTAAAACCATTTCCCCAAACTTTTTCCAATATTTTCTTGCTTATTTTTTTTAAAAAATACTTTTATTATTATTATTTTTTTTTACATTCTAAGGTGCTGTTGTGGAGTAGTTGGGGGGGAGGGGAGTTCTCACGGATTTTTCACTTTTTTTCTTTTAGATTAACAGGACTCATTCTGTTAGTTGTCAGCATAGATTTCTCACTGTATACATATAAGGCATAAATATGCATATGACTTTCCCTCTAGACCAAAATAGACATACATCTTGGATTTATGTTTTCAGTGTCAAGTTATAACTTAAAAACATAATGTAGACTCATTCTGTATCTATACTTAAAAAAAAGTAGTAGATTAGGTCTTTCTGTACCCTCAATAACAATATCAGACATTATCCCTAAATTAAAAGCTACATCTGGGGGCCGGCCCGGTGGCGCACTGCTATAGTGTGCCGCTTGGGAAGTGCGGTGGCGCTCCCACCGAGGGTTCGGATCACACATACAGATCGGCCGCTCACTGGCTGAGCGAGGGG